GGGGTCTGGGACGGATCCCTGCAAAAATGAAGGGACAACTGTAGTTATCTTTAGCTTCCTTGCAGATATTTTGAATGGCAAACTGCTGTATACATTCCCCATAAGATGCATAATAATGTTTCTAGTACAGTTTCTGGAGATCCAGTGTGGTATAGTGGTTTGAGTGTTGGACTACAACTCTGGAGACCAGGGTTCAACTCTCAGCTCAGCCATGAAAACTCACTAGGTGACCTCGGGCAAGTCACAATCTGTCCACACCAAAGGATGGCAATGGCAAACCTCCTCAGAAGAAACTTGGGAAGAAAACCCCACGATAGGGTTGCCAGAATTCGGAAATGACTTGAAGGGACACAACAACAACAACAACAACAACAACAACAACAACAAGAAGTCCAGTTTCTATGTGGGGAAGTAAAATTGTATGTTGCTATGCAGTTGCCAAGTTTCAAGAGCCAAATGTAGCGACTAAGAAACAACAATCTAAGAAAGAGAAAAGAAAGAAAGAGGAAAGGGCCACAGAGAGGAACTTTTGCACGTCACTATCTCTGTGTGGATGAAGTATGTCTTGTAGTACAAAGCTGGTACCAGGCATGTTGTGAGGCTTTAGAAAAATAATATATCTTTCTCAGATATGAATAACCTTGCCGAGTGACATGTGACATGATGAATTATTGATTGTGGTTGTAAAGGCTATAGCTACTTTAAATGAGTTAATATTTTAATAGCTGAATATATTGAATTCTTCACTTTTCATCATCAATTATAAAATAGCACAATGTTCAGTACAGCTGTCAAAATGCAAAAGAGAAAGGATTACTAACCCTAACCAGAAAGTATTATACCATATCATTATGTTAGGGTATTATTTTTAACGTTAATCTTGGAGACCTCTATTTTCATAAGTATAACATAAGATTTTATTGAAAAAGCTCTTCAGGACTTCCATATTGGGTTTTTTTTTTTAAATTAAAATTTGACCCATCAAAACTTTTAACATTTTATTTTCAGTGCCCATGTCATCTAGTCCATAATCATTCAAAATTGTAATATTTAATGCTTGAACAGCTAACAATGTTGCTTGAAGGACCTTTTGGAAGGTGAAAAAAGAGTGAGGATTCAAACTTAGAAATTCAGTACACACAGCAGTACAGTGGAACTAAAGATACTGAATTAATCTTGGGAACTACTACTCACAGTAGACCAAAAAATGTCAGTGTCATTTTGTGGAGGAGGGAGGAGCTATGAGCATTCATGCTCATTATGTAAAGAGTTATACAAGCTGAGTATGTACCACTTGGCCCAATTCTTGTCCCATGTTAGAAGACTTTTCTATTTACAGAAACAGCTCTTCTTGATTGGGACTGAGATGAAATAGTGTATATGTGGGTGGGACACAAATTTATTTCATATACAAAGTAGTAAGACCTACAGAGTTCTTAAAAAACAGATTGCAGAAGGGAAGCCCCTTTCAGACAGTTGCTGTATTGCTGTGGCCAGAAATTAGGCACTACATGAAGGCTGGTGTCTTCTTTGTCGGTGAAGGGGTGAATTATATATATATATATAT